TTACATTAGGGAAGAGGTGGGGCTGCTGTGATCTCAGACCTGAAAGAAGAATGGTGGGAGAGTGATTCCCTGTGTGCTTTCAGAAAAGGTTCAAACAAAAGTTTAGAAAAACTCACGTCATGTGTTAAAACTACAAAACTTTAACACATGATTGTGTATATAACAGAGTGAATGATTGATCTAGAATCATCCCAATGTGATAGATAATTATGAGACACACTGGTTGTATAGGAGGACTGCATGTGAACATGCCATACTGGGTCTCAGCACACGAGGTGTCTGATTTTCCATCACAAGCTGTGAGGCAATGGTGGGCAGCTGAGAAGTGGCTGGCAAGGGGCCTTCAATCTTCTCCTGCCAGAAATAGACCCTTCCTCAAATGCCATCTTCATTTTTTCCAGGAAGAAGCTGACCATGTTCTTCAAGTTTTTTATGTGCTCAGAGCAATTTGGTTTGTCAGGCTCTGCAAACACCACAGAGGACACAGGTATTAGAACAGATAAGTTTGTGTAATGACTATTAAAAGCCAGAAATGAGTAAATCATAACAATTACACTTTATCCTATATATTGAATTACAACTAGAAAAACATAATAAGTTTACCTGTCAACACATCACTACATGGCTCACGTTGTTAAATAAGGGACAAGTTGTACATTTTATTTAATACTTTAAATTATATGTCCGTCTTACTTTCGTTACATAACAGAATATCGCAGAAAGCAATGATACATGTACGTGCACACTCTGTCGTCTATGCTTTTTGTGAAAGGAGTGAACCAACGCCCCACAAATCCCTCTTGTGGCAAAAGATATATTGCATCCGTATTGATCAGGACAAGAGAATAAATTTGAAACGTGAAGGAAAAGAAAGCAGCACCATGCACACTGTCATATGCTATAAAACCTGTATGTGCTGCCGTCGGTAGGCAGCCAGTTCCCGTAGTGTAGTGGTTATCACGTTCGCCTAACACGCGAAAGGTCCTCGGTTCGAAACCGGGCGGGAACAGCGATGTTTCTTTTCGATTTTTCACTTCAGTTGTTTATTTTTCTTCAGGTGAAGTCCACAAATTCTAGGACAGAACCCACGTCCTCGCCTGAACCCGTAGCTTTGTAAAGGCGGTGACACGCCCCCTTTCGCACATTATGACAGTGTTTAGAAGCTGCACCTCATTCTGGATGGGGATAAAAATTCAAATTAATGTACAACAACGTAAAAAATACCACGGAAAATTATAACCCTTGTTTACACCTAAAGTAGGCCTGTGTTGTCTGTGCTGCAGTCAATGAGCAAACTCCACAGAAACCACCGGGGCGTACTTATGCAAACTCTCCACACGGTGGCAGTATACAGCAAACTTCCACTGTGGGAATCTCTTTTTACAAATAATTTTATAAATCGGAAAGTACTATGTATAGCCACAAAAACATCAGAATTTGTTTTTACTTATTTCAATTTATTAATGTTATATAAATCTGACTATAATAAAAATAGAATAAAACTAGAACATTTGTTGTGGGCGGAAAAAAAATCATTCTGAGAAAAAAAAATATTCAGAGATATGTATTATAATTGAAATTCACGCAACCAGACAAAGTGTGATAAACATCCAAATGTGTATTTTGGATGTTTTGTTTCCATTAGTTCGAAAGAAGACATGAAATGCAGTCAAAACACATCCTAGCATTGACAAATCCATGAAAAAAACAATGTATTTACCAATAGTGGCTCACCGTATTTCCTATTCCTCTTTTCATTTTACCGATAGCATAAATACTAAGTCAGAAGATCTCACCTGTAAGTTTAATGCATATGGCCCTAAACATGCTTAGAACCCAGAGAGTGAAATTTTCAATGTCATATTATCCAAATTTATGCAATCTTTCATTCATGATTCATCATCAAGACGTGTGCTCAGAGTCTGCACTGATGAGTTGGCAGATGTGCTGACTGACATTTTCAACATCTCCCTCAGTCAGGCCATTGTCCCCAGATGCTTCAAAACATCCACCATAGTTCCAGTGGCAAAGAAATCAGTTGTAGCCTGTCTGAATGACTATCGCCCCATCGCACTAACACCGATTGTGATGAAGTGTTTTGAACGGCTCCTCAAACCACACATCACAGCCAGCCTTCCTGCATCACTTGACCACCTTCAGTTCGCTTACCGTCCCAACCGCTCCACAGAGGATGCAATATCCACCACCGTGCACTCAGTCATCACCCACCTGGAAAATAAAGACACCTACGCTAGAATCCTGTCCATTGATTTCAGCTCAGCATTTTAATACTGCCATCGCCAGGAGACTAATAGAGAAACTCTTCCTGCTCGGCCTAGATACCGCCACATGTCTCTGGGTCCTGGACTTTCTGACTGAAAGACCCCAGTCTGTTCGAGTCGGAAAGAACATCTCCAACTCCATCACGCTGAGCACTGGATCTCCTCAAGGCTGTGTACTCAGTCCACTGTTGTTCACACTGCTAACACATGACTGTGCAGCCACACATGAGGGGATCCAGATCATCATGTTTGCTGATGATACCACAGTGATGGGACTTATTCACAAGAACAAAGAATCAATGTACAGAGATGAAGTGAAACACCCAGAGGGCTGGTGCAGTAAGAACAACCTGCTGCTCAACGTGGACAAAACGATGAAGATGATCATCGACTTCTGGAGGTCACGTCCTGAGCATGCTCCCCTCAGCATCAGCAGCTGCACAGTGGAGAGAGTGGAGAACATCAAGTTCCTTGGAACGCAGATCTCACCTGAGCTGGAATAAAAACACTGCAGCAATCATCAAACAGTCCCAGTAGAGACTGCATTTCCTGAGGAAGCTGAAACAAGCCTCTCTCCCTGCCAGCATCCTCAGGACTTTTACACAGATGTGGTGGAGAGCGTTCTGACATACTGCATCCCAACATGGGACTCCAGCTGCAGTATGTCAGACAGAAAAGCCCTGCAGAGGATAGTTAGAGGAGCTGAGAGGGTCATCAGCGTTTCCCTCCCCTCTGTCCAAGAACTTTTCCAGAGCCGCTGCAGGAGCAGGACCCTGAACATTGTCAGGGACTCCTCACAGCCTCTCCATAAACGGTTTGAACTGCTACCATCAGGTAAACGTTTGCATTAAAGGAAGAACCTCCAGAATGATGCTGAACTGCTGATCCAGATATGCAAACACTTGTTTATTTAAATCGCTTTAAGTCTTTGGATCGTGAAGAAACAGTCTTTCATCTTGCCTGTACTACTGTGTATGTACAGCAAAATGACAATAAACTTGATTTGATTTTGACTTGATGTGTGATCTGACAGACATAACTTTAAAAAAGAGCAAACCTTTCTTAAAGTTTAATCAGGCTTAAATAGGTTAGGCTGAAAAGAGGTAGGTGTTCGCTATTGCCGATTGCAATTATTATTATTTTTCCCCATAATGTGGCGTTTTCTGACAAAATGTACAGATCTCATAGAGCCTCTTTACAAAACAAATACTTTCTAGCTGACTAAACACATTTCTCACCCTGGTGCACTTGTGGTGCTTAATGGTAACCCCGGGCGACAGAACATAAACACAATTAAATCACAGGTATAATGTGTTACAAAACATTAATCACACTTGCTAATGATGTGATGAAGTCAGTTCAGTTTGCACAGGTTGTTGAACATCTTCTCACATTTCTGGGCGGTCTTTGGTAGGTCTTGTTTGGCCGTGAGCAGCAGGATCATGAGCAGGCACAGCATCCTGTTTGTGTCGTAGTTTAGGATAATGTGAGTTTTCATTTTGCTGGTTGATATTGAACCATCAGAGTGTTTCAACATCAACTAGCAATTCATAAACATTTGCCTACAGGATTTTGAGTTTTTGTCTGTGTGGGAGTGGAACCCATATGACCAACAACCCTCTATCAGGGAAAATCTCATGGAATGACCCGTGGTGACATCAGTGTGGAGTCATGCCAAGGCTGGATCCACTGAGTTGTGAGTGTTTTTTTTTTCTTTTTTTGAAAACTCATGTTCATTTACCTAATAACATATCAGAAATAAATGTTTTATTTTTTTATTTTTTCTAAAGCTATATGCTCCGAAAAACAATGTGTTCCATATTCACTGGTGTTTTTGTTTCGACCGGCTTTGTGTATAATCTGGAAACATTGTTTAGTTTTGAGCATAGATAGCACTGTTTTGAGGTGTTTGAGAAGAGTCAGAGGAATGGACTATGAAAAGAGAGTTTTGTGTTTTTACAGTTTTGAAAAAAGGGTGGAAGGTTAAAAAAAAAAGTGTTTTAACAGTTGTGAGAAACTGTAATCAGTATGTACATATCTGATTGTTAATACAAGAACTGTTAATTTGGAAATAGTCTTTCAGTGTCACCTTAGTTTGCTTTCATATTTACATATCATATGGTGTTATTGAATAAGACTGTGGCTCTTTTTGAGATATCTAGCAGCAGAGACATATGGAGTATGAGTATTTTACTCTTCTACCATGTGCTCTATTTTCTAAAAGAACAGATTAGCCATAAAGCTGCAGGTGGAAAGAATTATGTTAACTTTGTTGGATGTGATGAGTGAATAGGATGGTGGACCTAGCACTGTTTCTGGAAACCAGTGGAAAAATACTTGTATGCCACAAAGAATATTTCTTAAAGGTTCAGAGAACATTTAGTTATTTCTTATTCAGTTAAGATGTCTACACACCTCTACACTTTAAATGCTATGTACAGTGTAATATCTCAGTTGGATTTCTGGATTATTGTCCCGTAGGAATCATTACGAGGCAAATATTGATTGAAATCAGTATCAACCAGTGTCTTGGCTGTGCCTCTGTTGCTTACTGTCATATAATATAGTGATTTACCAATACATTATAATGTAAACACACACACACACAAAATCACTTACATACCAAACTGACTGATTTAAGTCCATGGCCTATTGAAGTGGAAGCTTCATGAACATTCTCTAAAAGCTGTAAACAGACACAATGAGACTCAACAGTGCTCTGGGAAATTCAATCAACATTTTATTTTCGGTATGTATTTTTTTTAACAAGTCAAAAGTTTGAGGTGCATAGTCATGAAGGGAGCATGAGCAACATGGTCACAAAACACAGACAAACAGCTGAACATTCACAGGAAAGTTGATCCAGGAAAACTGGGGTCGCAGGTCGATTTTGCACATGTGCGTGTTGAATATATTGTGGTGGTGATGTAAGCAAAATATAGGAATCCGCTGCAAGATGTCAACTCACTATAAAATACTGTAATTTGTATAACATCAGTGTCCTTAGATTGTTAAGATAAAATGTGTAGCTATGAGTTAGTTGCTTTGATTAAGATACATTTATGTTTTACAGCCCCTGGGTGTGTAAAAAATACTGTTGAAATAGTTTAAAATGCAGGACTGCAGTGAGAAATGGTGGAGAGGTCAGTGTCAGCCTGTGCTTCAAATGTCTAGTTAGCTAGCCTTGGTCTATAAGATAATCTCTTTCAAGGATTATAGGAGGCAGTTTGCTAGATAATATCGACACATAATAGATCACAGCATGCATCATAGTTTGGCATCACTACCAATACTTTAAACATAGTTGACTGTCTCAAAATTCTTACACGTGTTTGTACCAAATAAGAACATATTTCTCCTGTTTTAACTTATTTCATTCATCATCTCCTTGAGTCAGGATTGCAGTGAAGTTAAAGTTCAGTAGTTTCAACTTTAAATTTGTGTGAAATAGAACTGCAACTAATCCTTATTTTATTCATTTTCAGATGATTTTTATTTGTATTTTTTCAGTTGATCCGACGATGGCTTGGTCTGTAAAACGTCAAGAAAATGGTCCAAAAAAGCCCATCACAATTTCTTGAAGCACAAGGTGACGTCATTCCATCTCTTGTACTTTTACTGTTGTGTAAACAAGGGGGAGGCAAAAAATGTGGCAAATTCTCACATTTGAAAACACAGAACCGTCAAACTTTTGGCATTTTTTGCTCAAAAAGTTACTGAAACAAACGGTTGTTTAAAAAAGTTTACAATTAGTCTTCCTTTTTAATCGACTAACCGTCGGAGCTCTGGTGTGGAATGTGGGAGGAAGAGAGCAGACGTCAGACTCTTGGCTTGGCAGTGTAAGTTTCTGCTGCTAGAAATACAGATGTAGTACAGAGCAATATCATATACAGCTGAGTTCTGAAATGCCATTAGTACAGCTGTTCAGACAGTAATACAACATGTAAGTGTGAGTTGTGTGTCATTGTAATAGTGTTGTAACAACAGCAGACATGAGACTCTTGGATTGGCAGTATGAGTTTCAGCCGCTCTGGCAGTAAGAGCAATACTAACTCTAAGGAATCATATTGGTCAGTCAGAAATTCCTACATTTTGTTACTGTAGTGGGTAATCTTGAAGTAATCCTAAAACACCACCTGTAACTATTTCAATCTTACTGTAGCTGTCAGTTGGCAAGATTTGACAAAGGACCAACATTTTGTGTTTCATGGATAGACTTTGTGTAAACCTACATATCTCCTCTATTTGAATGTAAATATCCCTTTAATTTGACACAGGGTTTTTTTTTCCAGTCTATCTATTAGCATTGTATAAAGCAGTAGCAACAGCTGCAGCTCTGTGTGTAGTCATGTGTTGTTTTAACTGTGAAAACTGTGGCAATAATTTTATCCCACAGTTGCAAAAAAATTATAATTCAGCTTGCGATAAAAAATTATGCTGTCCTTATAGTCCCAATCAAAATGCAATGAATGCATGTTGTATGTGTCGTTGACGTGCACTAGAAGAAGATCATCTGATGTGTTAGACGTTTACCACTGGGTGGCAGTCGCACTGTGTTTACTGCCCTGTATTGCACCACTGCAGAGGAGCATTCTACACTGTACAGCGCACACTCTGTACTGCAGCAATCACTGCAAGCAGCTGTCTGGCCTCAAGACTCATGAGATTCAGGACAGGTGTCTCTTGGAGGACGACAAGACAGATCAGAATACCAAGAAGAAAACACAAATCTGTTTTTACAAAAAAAATTACCAGGATTATGAAGGTAACTGTACCACAACTAGATATTAACGCATTAAATCAGGCAGCATTATTTTATCTGCCACACATATGCCTGGTTGTTATTAAAGCAGAGCATCACTCTTGCACCCTCTTTATATTCACATGTCTGGTTTAGCTAGGCAGATTTTTTTATATTGAGTTTTTTCACTTAATAAACTGGGAGAGAGAAGAAAGACTTTTTTTTCTGGCAGGGTTAATGGGCTTCACTTCAGAAAACATGAAAATAAAGTCTGGGATGACAGAAAATGTGGACCAAACAATGGGAGCTGTGGCCACAAATATATAGTTTGGAGTTATGCATCACAATCCCTACATGAAACCACCTACTGTATTTGTAATGCTATGTCGAGGTTAAAGGTGTGGGTGGGAAGGAAAGTACACTAACAGACGGATCAACTCCACAATATTGCTTTTCCCTACAGGAAGACTTTGGATGTATATACCCTCCTTACAGAGGGATCTGCACATGACTGGTTAGACATGTGTGTTTGTGTGTGTGTGAGTACGCATGTGTGTCAGTTTGTTTGTGTGTGAGCATGTGTGTGTGTGTGTGTGTGTGTGTAGTGCTTCCCTATATCCATAACATTCACATTTTTACAGCATAACAAAGATACTGTATCACTTCTAACACTGCACACGAATAGTTTCAATGTTAGTAGCTGTTACAGTACTCACATTAGTACATCACAAATCAATCACTGAGTTCTATGAACACAGACCATTTCTGATCCCATTTACACCCAGCAATAAAATTCCATTTGAAACTTCGTAAAGCGCCTAAGTCGCCCAGTGAGTGAGATTTCAAACCAATGTGTGCCCTGATTTACGCTGCGTTGTTTCATAAATGCTTCTGCATTGTATCAGTTTAGTGAATAAAATCTAATTGCCTGAAAGAATTCAGAACGTAATCTGAGACACATTGATGCAGATGGTGTTAAGTGAACACATCCATTTTCCAAAGACATTCATGACAAACAGAGGTTGTCTCAGTATATAACGTCACTGAATTGGCAATCACAAGTGCCAATAGCATATATGATTTAGGGCAGTAGTAATGTTTTCTATGGTTACAACAAGGGTTGCTGTTAAGATAAACTCAGAAAAAATGCAGTGCATTTATGAAAGGATTAACACAGGACACGAATTATCTTGCATGGTGTTTTATAGGTGCCAAATAGCAATCGGACTTTAATCAGGCTCTTTGGAAGTGATTAGTGTGGTAGCCCTGAGAGCAACAACATGCTCTATTTTAGGAAACTCATTCAAATAGCCAAAACACAAGTAAACTAAGATAATATCATCAATCTGACAGTGTTTTTAAAAAATGCCGCAGTCCACTGCAAATACTGAAAAGCTTTTCCATATGCAATGCAATATGTGTGTGTGTGTCATCTTTGCAGCATTTGTTCTACATCCTGGACATGGGTTGTTTCGTAAGATGTTTTCTTACTTTGCTTGTGTTTTGTTTCAAGTGCATTGAGCTCAAAGGGCCACCATCCACCGGACTACTAAATATAGATGCCGTATGGTTAAATCAGTACTCAGAATTCAGTCGAGATACAAGTTTCGCAAAATAGGTACAGACGGGCTTTTATGTCAAAATGTGTTTTATAATGTAGCTTTGAGCTTTAGTTCTGCCTGATTTACCTTCCATCTCCTAACGGAATTCTGTGCCAAGTGTAAATGGGACCTCATCTAGATTGATCCAATGCAGATAAATCTGTCTAATGTAGATATATGATCCTAATGTTAATACATTAGTCCAACTAAGATACATTTGTGTAGTGTAGATACATACATCGGTACATTGATCCGTGCCTTGGAAAGACAGTTGCCAGCCAGTCCAGACACATCTATAAAGTGCCTTATAACAGGTTATTGCATAATCTGATGTCTGTCTTATTGCTTCCATTGAAAGCAAGAAGGGAAATGCACTCCAATATTAGAGAGCAGCAGGCGGACGGAAGTGAACAAGTAGAAAAATAAAAGAAAATTTTGTCATAGAGTTCTGTTCCAGTGAGACAGCATGTACTCAGTGTTAAAACCATGTCAACACAGTGCTGTTGTCAGGTACTCAGTCAAAATGACAATGTTAAAATGTTTTGTTTTCCCCCAAAATGCTCATAATATATTATAAAAGAAGGATGACTGTGAGGTCACTTCCATTATTTGTTGTTTCATGAAGTCACTCCGACCACCGGTAAAGTGCTGTATTGTTTGCACGCAAGGCCAGTGTGCTATACTCTGGTATCAAAGTGGCTCTTTGTAGTTAAGTATACATGTAGGTATATGCTTGTGTGTAGCTCGTGTGTAGCTTTCAGCTGTTGTAGCTATTCACGCTATGCACTAAGGTATGTGGGTGTAGCAGGTCATGTCTGTCCGGCGGCTTCACAGAAGTGACTTCTCATATTGAGAGTCGCACTAAGAGGGTGTTCTAGGTTTCATTGGGCATTTTTAGCACTGAGCTCATCCCTGTTGACTTATCGCAGGATGAAGTGTAGACGTGATGTTATGAGGAATATGCCAACTTTTTGGTTCTCCTCAACAACAAAAAAAACTCTTAAATGTTGGGGGAAATTGGACATGTTCTGCCATACACATTCTTCTTTTTTTTTCATGCATCAATGTACTCTTATATATGCCCACTAAACTCTTGAATACCTAAGAATTTTTTAAGTGCTAATACACTGGTTCTCTAATCAAGCTTCTTATAATCTTCGATGCCCAAAGTTTTGAAATACAGTCAGTAGCTGGAGACTTACATAGAATATTATAGTGGGCCAACAACATTTTACTACGTCTCTTGGGGGATATTCACACATTCACTTGATAATAATACTAATATTGGATATAATATTTGTAAAGAATTAAAACTTACTTTTTGGACAATATTTTACATGTGTTCCCTGACAGTCTTTACATTCTTTTGCAGTGATTTGTCCCACTGCTGGGCTACCTGCACCACTAAGGCTGTACCAATGGACTTGTTTGGCCTGTAGCACAATAACAAATATACATAGTGTTGTTAAGGTGTTTTTTTGAGGTTCTCATCGAGTTTGTATGAGAATTTAGCATGTGGAGAACTCCATTTGTTGCACTCCTCACTTACAGTATATCCTGGTGCGCCATGAAGAAAAGTGCCAACTTTTGAAACTTCTCTCACAAAGTTGCGTAACTGTATGACTCAAACTTAGAGTTAATAAAACATTCTTACATTCGGAGTAAGTGTAAAATGTCTTTCACCATTTCTTTCCCAGTGATACCTGCAGGCCAATACAATAAAAATTTTACTTCACTGACCTGGTTAAAGGGGTTTTAAAAAAAGTTGTAGCAGTGTTGGGAGGGGTGTTGACAGAGCTTCCGACACTTTAGGCTGATTTGTAGAATTGAATGGAACCAGACGGAGACGCACGGAAATGTTCCTGTACTGTGGTGCAACGTATACTTATATGAAGTTATATAAAATGCGCACATGCTAAAAATGCATTGGTTATTAGTCAGAAGCAGCATGATTAAGTCATTCCTTTCTATAGGGAGCTGGGTAGGCTGGGGATTGTCTTTGATGAGGGTTAGGGTTGTGTTGTTTTTTTTTTTGTTTTGTTTTTTTTAATACATTTTCTGTGTTTTTACCCTCCCACCAGCAGAGGGAGCTGAAGCAGAACAGGCACCTGTGTTTATCTAAAGCAAAACAATAAAAACCTGTGCAGAACTGGATCCTTCAGTCACCTCAGCAAAGCCCAGTTGTCAGCCTTGGTTTAGCCAGCATTCTATCAAAACCTACCATCAGCATTAATGAACCGAACACCCAACCAGTGTGTCTAACCTGGACCCGGCAGTAAACATTAAAGTTCAGACTGGCATGGCAGAGGATAAGGTCAGTGGATCAGGGGGAAAAGGTCAGGGGACAAAAAATAGCATTAAAGACCTCTGGAAAACCAACACAAGCAGAGTAAGTTGTTTTTAAACACCCTCAATCAGTACTGCCGAACCCAATCCTCAAATGTTAAAATGCCATTTTACAAGCAGTGTCAAAAGTGTATTTACCTGTTTTATTTACAGATTGTTTGAATTGAAAGTGACTGGAAAATGTCTGCTTTGATTTATGAAAAAAAATTCTCTGTTTATGGTCCTCTGGCTTGTGTTCACAGGTGGATTTATGTCAGTGTCGTGAAGGGTGGAGAGAAGCTTTTCAGCTGTTTTGTGCTGTTGTTCAGCTAACATCATGGCAGTTTACAGATTATGGCAATTCATTGTGGTACCAAAGTGTGGTCAGCTTAGTTTGGGTCCAAGTTTGACTAAGAGTTGTGGAACAGATGAGAACCTTGTGAATTTTAAACTAAGAATCAAACTGATGATGGCTTGTCAACTGAGACTGGAAAGTATATTTTGGAGCGGAAGTTAAAGGCTTAAATTTGGTCTATACAAAAACTGCAATGGAGGATTGGCTTTGTGCAAAGTTTCCTCTAAAGTAATGGGATAGTTATTACATACATAGAAAAAATAAATAACATTAATAATATTTTGAGGACTTACCTAAGTAAGAAAATGTTAAAGTGGAAACCTCAAGTGTGTAAAATTAGAAACTGTATTTCAGCGAAAGTGTTAGGTTCAGTAAAATGTAGAGCTGAATTCAATGACAGAGGCTGTGCACTGTGGAACAATTGGGCTGCCATGTAAGTGAGAGAGCGATCCAGGCCGATGCACATTTCACACTTCCCAAATCTCAAGCATGATTTAAAATAGACATTTACAAGTTGTATTAGTTAGCCACTAGTAAGATAAAACAGTCCACTGATAACAGCTTTTTCTCTGAGCGTGTACATTTGTCTAACATATATACAAACATACAGACATACTTTGCATTTTCAAGCCTTTGGTGTCCCTTTGTTGTCAGCTTTGGCTCCTGATAGTCCATTTTCTGTGTTGTCATTCCCTGAGGAGCTCACCAGGCACTCTTTACTGCAGGGGACAGAGAAGCTAAAGGTTAAGATGTGCACCTATTAAGTTAGAGACCATAATAAGGGGCATATATATATATATGTATATAAAATGGTCATTTTACATAATCTAACCCTCAGAGCCCCGAAAGGTAATCCTGTGTTGGGCACAAATACAAATACATAACTAAGTTTTTACTGTAACATACTGAAAAGTTATTGAAACCTTACAAACTATACAAAAAAAAGGACTCAATTCTTCTTAGCAATGTCACCATTAGCATTTTGGATACAGCTTACAAGAGAAATGTGCCACTTTGGCTCTTTTTGCTTAATGCTTCCATTTATTGGCTGCAGTCTACACTTAGTAGCCAAACAATTTTTTTTTATATAATAGGTGTGCAGCCATATAAATTACAACAAGTCACATTTATTGCTAGTATGTACAAAACTGTCCCATTAGCATTGACATTAACAGTCAAAACATGGCTATGACACTGCATTTCTAATTTCTGACTTCTGACTCCAAATACAGTACGGTCAGTTGGCATCGTAGGACAGTTAATTATTCTGTTCTAGTGTCATGATTGAAGCTTATTTTTGCACCTATATCAGAGAGCAAAATCAGAGGTTATTGATGTACGTCTCTCTATGTGAGTGTCACAACCTTTTGCAACACATTACATAACAGTTAGCCTGATTGATGATGTACACGGCAGTAATTTCTATGAAAAGCTTACTACTGTCTATATTCAAGTATATTCCTAATTTGCCCTCAGTGCCCTTATTTACCATAATAAGGAATCTACTCACTTCTTCTCGTCATCCTTCAGCAGGAAATGAACCACCAGAGCCTTTATCACCATGACAATGATCACTAAGCCAATGACTCCACCCAGCACTGAGACAATAATGACTGTCAAAGTATTGTCAACCTCCTTCACTGTAAAGAGGGAGAGAGGGTGTGAGGCGGAAAGACAGGGACAGGGAGACGACAATGCAAAGACTGCACAGAAACAGTTTTAACAAGAGCGAGGTGAAAAACAAGCAGCAGAACATCTAGCTTTGTTGTCTCCATATATCATAGTTGGATAAAGCTGCATATTTGTGTGCCACGTGCATACAAGTTTGTGCGTCTGTCACATACTTTGGTCCACCACTAGAAGAGTGAAGACAGCACTGTGGTTGCGGTTCTTCTCTTTCGGGTTCCTGGCAAAACAGATGTACTCTCCTTCGTCTTCAAAGGTGATGTTCCACAGCAAGATGGAGATGTTGTTAGTCTTTGACGAACCGACAAACTCCACTCGCTCGTGGTACACGTTGACCTTCGGCTCCACACCCTCCATGGAAATCTCTCCTTCACATAACTACACACACACACGTCTACTTAGATGCACAATATTGGTAGTAAAGTATATTTTCGTGTGCTCAAAGATCTGTATCAGCGTGTGTTAACCTACAATTTATCTGATGCATGCAACACACAAAGATCTGTATGTTGTTGTGTTTGTTTCTAAGGTTTCTCCATGTTGCTTATACTTGCAAGTGTGTGTGCAAGTGTGTCTGTTGTACCTTTGGGAAGGTTCCATTGTCATTATATTGCCAGTTGAAGTAGAGGTTTTTGATGCCAATACAAGAAGAATAGGTGCAGGGCAGCAGAACCGTGGAGCCATTCATTGCTTCGATCGACGACACTTTACCTGTCGAAACCTCCAGCCCACCAACAGTCCATACACCTGAAAGGAGAAGGGACAAATGTAAAAATAACGGAAAAGCACAGAGAACACTGTTTTTTAAAAACATAAAAACACAAGCATAAAAGAAAACAGGACATAGCACAGCATGTATACCAGACATAAAACAGCACACTCTAGATTAATCACTATGTCAAGTCTAATTCAGGTCAAAACGTTTTTTTAGGACAAAAAATGACAAGAGGTAAAGGGATGTTTTTACACTGGGGCTGGCCACCATCCACCTACTACTGTGAAAGATGAGCGCAACTTAGTGGATCAATGGATTAGTAATAGTATTGCACAATTGACTTACTGTAAGGGCATCTAATATATTGACAGCTTTCACAACTTAATTTTATCTTTACCTATAATGTAAACTAAATTAGATATTATATTAAATTTTTTGTTCGTAAATTTAAAACCTGTTAATTAATTTTATTAATTTCTTGACTTCTTGAATTTCTTAAACTCAATTCATGGTCTATGATATAACCAGATATGTCATATTTGTATCTAAATAACTGAAAGAGTAAGATTTATATTATTCCAGATCATGGTTGGACCATGTTTTTGGTTGAGAATGTAATCTGAGCCATAATTTTACGATAGTCACAATATCATACTATAGCAGAAAAAAATGAAAAAAATGTTTCACACTTTTGCCTTGTATGTTACATAAATATTTTTTTTGACATACTGTGTAGAGAGAAGTCTGAAATTGAGGTTGCAATTTCAAAATGGTAGGTTTTTCATATTTTTGTAGTCCATCTAAAGATGAGAACTGTGATTAAGCTTAGGCTATAAATGATTAGGTGTGTGACACTGCTTCACACTACCCACTACACTACTTGCCCCTGAACAAATAAACATTAAATAAATATATTACAAATTTATCCTTATCAAAGCTGACAGTTTTACTTCCAGACTTGTTTCATGGTTAGACATCCTTCTACAAGCTGTCACCGAAGCAGTTAGACAAAATAAAATACAAACAAATTCACAACAATATTACATGTCCTTAATGTAAATATGCTAGAATACACATTTAGCATTTGATAGCTCATACGTCTCAAACTGCAAACACCAGTGCCCTGCTATTATTAATACAAACATCTCAAAAATCTGATCAGAGATCCAGATTCAGGACACATGTTGTGGTTGTATACTCATAAAGCATCAGTTTCTTTTCCCTAAACACTTTTTCTTGAAAAATGTCAAGGAAAGGTGGAAAGGGGCATTCATAAGGAATGGAAAAGGCAGCTATATTGCTAAGAGAATCCGGCTGCACTTACGGTGAGCTTCGTAATGATTCAGTGGCAGGTGGTGTTGACATGGGTCTGCTGTGTTGAAGCTACAGTGTTCTGAAGATGGATTACAAGAAGTGAGTTTGCTTGCCCTGTGCGTTTGTGTTGTCTTGTTTCTTGCAGACTATATACATGTGGACAACCTGGTGAAAAATAATGGTTAAATATATCCAGTACAGGCCAATAAATCTGCTACTATACATATCATCTTTAAGCTTCAACCATGTTAAGATAAAAACATCATCCAGCTAAAAATATCTCATACCTCCTTTCCTTGAAAGCCAGACTTGTTATGCGTTATGGTTGAAATGCTGGTTCTGATCTGATTATAAGCCTATGCATACGGTAGCTTCAGAACCACCGCGCTACTCGGTGAACTACTTGAAATGTTGACGTGATTGTCCTTTGAAGTGGTTATGACTGATACAGGCCATGGACGTGTAATGTGACAAAAATAGTTGATTCCCCAATGAGATTACTATCAGATAATCAAGGACCCAACACTGCTGTGCTCAATTAATGGAGAGTCGCTTTGAATGTTGCTGCCACGAGGAATTTTGGAACAGCATTGTCATCTTTCCCTTTTGTAAACGATGGTCGAGTGTATTCTATGCTGAAGGGAATAAGACAGAAAGCAGTGAAACAGCTTTCCTTAGTATTTAGAGAATTCGATCAGTACTTTTAATGACTTCCACAGAGATATTTCCAGGTCCTTTCACCCAGTTAGGAAGTCATCAAGGAAGTCATCAACATTATTTAATATAAGCCATGTGACTTGAAGTCACATATCTGGTAAATTCTCTGCGGTTTTTCTCATTTACTCATTCCTATCAGTTCTTTATTGCTTCTCAGCACAATGAGCAACGTGTCCAGGCTTTTCCTAAGCCTGAGGTGGGTAATTGACCAATTGACCGACTGCCTGACTTACTGGCAATGATTGACAGACAAAGAAGAGATAGCGGGACAGAAACACTTCCAAATCAAAACAAAAAATATCAATCCACTTTATTACAAATTATTCTTGTTGTTCTGTGATGTGCAAAGCGGTAACTACACGGTGACTCTTTTCACTTCAAAAGAGACAGCTCATCTTTATTGATATTTGGGTCTTTGCAGGGCAGATTATGTTGGTTGTGCAATGACAGCTGCTGTAATTCTCAGACTGTTGCTCTGGTGTCTGTCACACTTGGGGTCTATTTATAAATGCTCTCCTCCACGCTGACCTGTTCAGGATCGAGTTGCACTTGGACGTGGTGCAGACCGGGTCAGAGCACATGTATGCCGATGTTTTTATGAAGGACTAACATCTACTTGTGTGTAAGAATTTTGCACCACCTGCTTTACAGTTCTGTGAAAACATCAGCACTGCCACTAAGCAGTCAAACACTAGAATCCCTTTTGTCATCTTGGATAAAATCACTGTTTACCATTCTAAGTTGGGTGTTAATGCTGTGGACACACTGTAATCACTTGGTGTGGCTTTCTTTAGAAGTGACATGAATTCCCATTTTCTTGCATTAGAATTCTGCACATCGTGGTTCCTGTGATTGCATTGCTGCCAACTGGCTTCCCTGCTTTGGGTCCCAACTCATCTGTGTCAGGCAGCATAAAATCTTGATCAGTCGATTTGTAGGGGTGATAAATGATGGTAGAAGCAAGCAGATGGTAGTAAAGCTGTGCCATCATTGTTGTTCCCGCCTTCCATTTCCTTTGTTTTTCTTCATCACAATATGTTTTAGGTCATACAGTGCTGCGGACTTCAGCTGGAAACCCTCTGGTCAAGTCAGACGCTGACATTAACAGCTGTGTTTCTAATGCAACATTTGTTCATCTGTGTGAATGAAGCCATCATAGTCCTGATCATTAAATTTATTGCTAATTCGTTACTTGTTGAAGCAGTGTGAGGCCGCAACATGCTGCCAGAAGAGCTGCTATGCACTTTGACACTGAGTATCTATACCTCTACTAGGGGCATGAATACCACTCTTCTTTTAGTCTTTTGTCTATTTTGATAATATGGCCGGGGAGCGCTATCTAACCATGTCAGGTGTCCTTTTGGGTTGAGATCTGGCAACTGCAAAAGCCACAGCATATGATTCACATCATTTTTATACTCATCAAATCACTTAGTGTCCCTTTAGGGTGCTACAGATGGTGGCATTATTAAACTAGAAACAACCACTCCCATCATATTAGTAAGGCTTTGTCATAGGATAAAGGTGAGTAACTTTGTATTGATTTGCAGTGACCCGTTCATCTGAGGAGATAAGTGCACTTAAACCATGTCAGCAAAATGTTCCAGAATACATTACAGAGTCACAAGATCTGTTCGCTGTAGGGATTAAGGGTTCAGGTTTTTTCTTTATGTGTCACTCATCTGTACATATGACGTACACATAACTGGGTAGTCTCAACCCACGTGTCGTATACAGAATGGTTCAGGTTGAGTCCATGCAATGATACATACCTAATATATAGAGTTAGTGTATCTGTTTTAGCTGTGATGTTGGTATGGGAATATATACAGAACACAAATATTTAAATATCTAAATGTTGCCTTAAAAGCACATGATTAGACACCAAGGAGCTATCGAGAAGTTTGGCTGTATTTTTCTTCGGTCAATTTTCTGCATTTGATCGTTTGTCTTTTTAGACTCTTCCCCCTTTTTCTTGTTTCCTCACACCTTATATTTCTACCACTCCTTTTGCCATTTTGACTCGTCTTCTCTCAGCAGCAGCTTGGGACGTTTGGGTTCTGGTTGTTCTTTTCTGTTTCTGGTTTTGCTCTTTTAATGGACTCTTACGATTCTCTTTTTTCAGCGCTTGGCGCTTTCTCTCTCGCTTGCTCTCTCTCTCTCTCTCTCCTTTTTTTTTTTTTTCAACCCTTCTGTCTTTCTTGCTCTTAGAACTTGCTCCTCTGGGACACCATACCTAAATAAGAACAGGAGCAATGTGGAGAGCTAGTCTGTGCATGTCTGCGTGTTTGTGTTTTGGTGCGATGGAATCGATGACAGCTTAGAGGTTTGAAACATTGGACTGCTGTTTAAACTCTGTAAGTACAATAATGAATAAACTTTTTACCGCCTATCAATAATTACTGGCTAGTGAGCAGTTTTTGAAACAAAGTGCTCCACCGGGATAAATGCTGCAAAGGAGAGAGAAAGCAAATGAGAAGCTCTTTCTAAATGGTTTACGTGATGCATCCTCATCATCTCTGGAAGTATGATGACGGTTTACATATCAGAGAGGAGTGTCCCCTCTCATGGCCAGAAATAGATTTGGCACCTCCCTCGCTTTACACCTCTGCTCTCTACTATCACTTCTCTCTTCATCCCCTTGCTCTTCTCTCTCTGTACTCTCCGTCTGTCTTCACAGTTTGTCCTGACAACACCCACAGATCCACATCCTGTAATAATATACTACACTAGTTATGCACTGTAGACATGATTGTGTGCGTGTGCTTATATGTGCCTGTGAACTCTTGTCCATGCATATTTATGTACATACTTGTGAATGTGTGCACGTGTGAGTGTGTGTGTGTGTGTGTGTACATGAGTAATAGGCTGGAATATATGATATTTTTAGATCCATTATCAAGTATCTCCTTGTCCCAGTTGGGAAACATCAATATCTGAATCACTGATGGTAGGAAAAGCAACTAGCTGTGTGTGTATGTGTGTGTGTCCTTGGCCGACTGTCAAGGTGAAGTGTTTTTTTTTTTTTTTTAAAGTAGGCCAGAGATTGAAGGGTTAATGTATTTCTGAGTGAACCCATAGAGAACTGACCGAGGACACTATTACCTCCATGAAAGCGAGAGAGAGGGAGTGAGGGAGGGAAGTGATGGGAAAGGTGGGAGAGAAGGGAGGAGGAGAAGAGAGAAGGAAGGGAGGTAATGGAGGAGGTACGGTGCATCGGAAGTGATGGAGGGAGTCGCCGGGGAAAAACAGAGGGACGGGTATGAGAGAGTTAAAGGAAGTGAGACGTCCTCTCCAAGGTGAATGAGTGACAGCAGGGTAGAGAAATACGCCGGCAGCAAAGTAACTCAATCAACAGAGCTGCTGGTGTTGGTGGACAAGGCGGGTTTGCGTTAACACTTCACAATAAACATATGCCTACGCTGTTATGTTACATGATAGTCACGCAAACAAGCAACAACATACGGTGTAATTAGCACATTTACATGCTAAGTATTGATGAAATGCTACTAGTAATTTCTGTGGTGTAATCTGACCTCCATGCATTGTTTTTGTTTTTTTTGTACTACAACTCTTGTGTTGTTGGCTGTTTGCTGTTTATTCTTTACAGCAAGATGTTGCATAATTATTCATGCTATAATATATGTAATCGTAGATGAAGATTTGTGAAAGTGGCTCATTTAAAGTGGTTTAATACCACGGTTGAAGTGACAGATGTTCTGTACATTTGCATATCTTGGAAATTTTTGAATCTCTTATTATTGATGTTTGTTTGTTTTTTTTCAAGTCCATAATGTTTACTTGTTTTAAGGACGGCTTCTGTATATGAATAATGATCTATACTTTAAGGAAGACTAATGTAGTTCCAAGGACATCATCATATTCTTTGGTTGACCAGTCGGACAACAAGCTACTGTCATGTTTTATGTGTCATATCTGTGATAGTTGTATCAGAAGTGTAAATCATTACATTTTGTTTTTGTTTCTTTTTTTTTTTTAGTTTTAAATAAATATTCTTAAGATTTGTAGCTTAAACATGTTGTCTTGATTCCACATCTGGCTTTGATAGGGGCTTTGCTTCACTTGTGTTTTCATTTT